ACTATCAGGGTTGGATGACACTTCTGGGTTGTGGGAGGGTTACTAGGTTCAAAAGTTTTTCTAGCCGAAACCGGTTTGGCTCAGTGGATAGAGTGTCAGCCTGCGGACTGAAAGGTCCCAGGTTCGATTCTGGTCAAGGGCATATAGCTTGGTTGTGGGCACATACCCAGTAGGGAGTGTTAGGAGGCAGCTGATCAATGTTTCTCTCTCATCATTGTTTTTAACTCTCTATCCCTCTACCTTCCTTTCTGTAAAAAAATCAATAAAATATATTTTTGTTAAAAGGTAAAAAAAAACACACACAAGTTTTTCTATAGCAAGAGAAGAAGGAAAGGGGATTGAGGAAGTGAGCAACTCACTCACTTTGCCTCTTGTATTTTTTTTTACCCTAAAGAATAGCTCCCTCCCCCAAAGGGCACCCTCCCTTTTATAGGAGGGCTCTTTTTCTTCTTTGCAGGCCCCATGATGGTATAGATTTTATCTGTGTGTATGTGTGCATGCGTGTAAAAATCAGTGTTCCTTCTGGGGATAGTTTGATTGATGTATACACTGGAAACACCTTTAATAATTTAATGCCTACTTCAAAGGAGATTACACCAAAAAGCACATTGCTTTTCATTTATTCATTACAGATCTGTCATAGAAGAATTTTTTTTTTTGCCCTGAATTGTAGTGTCATGGTAATAATAAATTTTGTTTTACACTCAGGATATTTTAAAGAATTATAAGCCTTTTAACGAATGTTACTGTCTTATTTAAATTGATCAAAATGATATTTCAGCACCATAATCTTGCATTTCTTAAAGCTGAGCTAACCAGATGTGGATTCATTTGATGACTACTGAAATAGCTGTTCTGGGGAAGTTTAATACAAATAATGGGATGAAAGCATAATCCTGCTTGTTAGTGGTGGTGGTTATAATAGCAAAGAGAACAGAGCTGGAATTAGGGGCTTGGTGTTTCCTTCTCCTTAAAAAGAGATTAGGGTATTCACCAGCCTTTTGAATTAAAAGGAGAAAAAAGGTATATGTGTTTGGGAATTGGGATTGAAGAAAAGGGTAAGTGGGAAAATACAAAACTAAAAATCAACACACAATTGTTTTGCAACTTACAGGTATAGATTTAGATGTCAAGAAAGGAAAACAGACTTTTCTCCAGTTAGACAGAAGGCAATCACCTAAACAGACTTTAGTAAACCTGTGTAATATATTCCCAGAGAGTCAGGGAACATATCCACATTTCTAAATGGTTACAGTACATTTTGAGGTTTTTGGGGGGTTTTCCCCCTGTTATTATTACTGATTTTTTTTTTTTTTTAGAACATAATATATAACTTCTCTTTAAATCAAAACCCAAATTTGCTCTGAATAGGGAACTTTAGGCACAGTAGGGATTATAAAAATTTTAGGAGAGTGCTTTATAATTATCCAATTCTCAGAGATAATTTAAAATGGAATCTCTGATTGGCCATTAGTGCTATAGTATTTCTGGATTTTTGAATGTACTGCTTCAGGTACTCTGCCTAACAAACTCTACAGTGTTTCCTCCCTCTATCACACCATAAATATTCAACAGAAATCCAGAGATGTTTTGTTCTCAGGTTGGAAATTCTTTAAACAGGAAAAGTAATGCTGCCTGCTGCAGATGTCAGGCTGACCATTGCAAGTATAGCCAAACCTTGTTTCTCAAATGTCTCCCATCTCGAACAATTCGGTTCTCAGAAAAAATGTCTTGGTTGTCCAACCAGAGGTCAGTTGTCTAACTGATAGCCCTTTCATGCTGATGCCTCAGCACCACAAAAAGCATCTCTCAGGCAACAAACAAAGGAGAGAACACTTTTGTTGCCTGGGAGTCAAGGATTAGCACAATTGGAAAGCATAAAGAGGCCATCAGAAGTGCTAATGTCGCTAAGGGTGTGAAAGAAGCAGTGATCACAGGCAATTGAAGAGGTAGAAAAACTGTGCTGGTTTGGATAAACAAAAGCAGATAGCCAGTGACAGACAGCCTTTGGGAGGCAATGACATGTGAGCAAGCAAAGATGCTCCATGCTGACCTGAAAGACACCCCTGGAACAATGCTGAATGTGATTCCTTTAAGGCTAGTAGGGAGGGGGCTGGTTCCATAAATTTAAGAAAAGAAGTATTTATTTATAGATTAAATAATACATAAGACATGTACTGTATATAAGGAAGGCTAAAACAGGGAATCATTTGAGGGTCTGGAACAGATTAATTCAATTACATTATTTCTAATGGGAAAAATGATTCGGTTTTCAAATAAATCCTCTTGAAAAGCCTTCTGGGATGAATTAAGTTCGAGAACTGAGGTTCCACTGTACACTTGAGTGTGCTTAAAGCAGCATTATCTATGTGGTTTGTTTAAGGGAGAATAAATACCAGAACTTTAGGGCAAGATCACCTTGGGGTCAAATCCTAGCCCTACTTGCTTACCCGGGTGTGATGTTAGAAGTGGTGCGTGATTCCTTATAATAAAATGGGTATACCAAGTGTGCTTAGTAGGGTCACTGTGAAGGTTATATAGAATGATGAATGCATAATTACTGAACATGTCCTTTGGCACAGACAGGTGACGGGTGTGCCTCTTGTCTGTTATCTTTACCCACAAACACCACTGGCACCAGGTTTTGGATGTCTCAGTGACTAGCCATGTGACACCTGGCCACAGGCTGCCACACCCCACCTTGGATATCCCTTTCCTGCCATACACTCTTATTGCTTCTCTCCTCATGCCCTGTCATAGCATGATTGTTTCCGTACTGCTCTGAGCTTTTTGCTGTCACAGACTCTGTTTGTCTCTGAATGCCCAGTATCTGCAGTACCGCTTAGTGAAAACCAGTGCTCTATGTCCACTTGCTCGACTCATTGTGATGAGAGCCCCCAAATGTCTGGCAGGGTCCCATGGTGAGTATCTCCCTAAATCTCCCAGAACCACCAGGAAAGGAATATGCTCTCCCCAGGCCTTGTCCTGGCCTCCTCTGACATGTGTGTGGAGAGCCACCAGAGTGTTTCTCAGACTTGGTCCTCATTCAGCTCTCCCCAGTCTGAAGTCCCCTCTCTGACTTAGTGTCTTATTGGGAAAGCCATTCCCCCACCCCCCGCACTTCAGGTGTATCCCCCTCAAGGCTTTGCCACATTTGTTCTAGAGAGAGGGTGGGACATGGGTGTGGAGATGGGAACATACTGTTTTCTCTTTTGGAACTTGGTTTTTTTTTTCCTCACCTTTATTTATTTTGGTCTTAATACATAAAACCCAGAATTCCTTAGCAAGCCCTGTGGTTACATTTCATGAACCTCTTCCCTTTTCAAGCCACCTGACCCATCTACTCCCTTCCACCCCAGTTTCTGGATTGGCCTTCTCAAGGGCCCTGCCCTGGGCAGCATGCTTCGGTGTGGCTAGCTAGGACCCTGCTGATGCTGGTTCACATTAGGCATCCGGATGAAAATTTGAAAGACACAGCCTCAGTGTACTATTAGTCTGCATGATGATAAACACTGTTTTCTGTACTATCTTCTCAAAATCAACTATTTTTTCTTTCATTTAAAAAGTGCATCTTTGATGTCATGTAATTAAATTTGAGTCTTTATTTTTGATAGAATATAGGAATTCACGGTTCAACTCTTTCTTCTTCAAAATAATGTAGTGTGGAATTTGTCCTGAACTTTAATCTACCCGTCCTCATTTATTACTATCTTCACTTCAGAAACTGAAAGCTTGTGTTCACTTATTGTGTAAATTGTCCTATAAGTAGTCTTTTGGCACTAAGAGGAGAACAGACTTCCAGAGCTGGAAGGGAGGTCAGGGTTCATTGTGCCTCAAACCTTCAAGTAACAGATGGCAGAGTATTTAGTACAACCCTACACAGTGAGAAAGAGGCAGGTCTGAGGTCCTAACATTCTGAGTTTTTTTCCTACCTACACTTTAAAAAAGAAACACACAAAATGCACACATTTTATTGGAGGCAATTCAGAAATAAGATAGCTTTAGGAAAGAGTGTATTATAACAAATGGGAAGGGATATAATTTTTTTTTTTTTAGGATTTGTGATGTGCCAGGCACTATATACAACTTATTTCATTTGATCCCCATGGAAGTGTTATTATATTTCCATTTTATAAGTAGGAATCTGAAACTCACAGAAGTTAGGTAAAGCCAGTAAGAGCCTGGCCAGGACTTTATCCCAAGTCGTTCTCTCTCCAAAGTCTTGGCTCTAGAATTCAGCCTTCTGCTCTCTTTTAAAGCAGGCTTACATGTATCCAAATAACAGTAAAAATGCCTAACTAGACTTTATAAAATACTTGAGCATTTATTACTTTTTTCAGAAGGGACTAAAAGCTTCTTAGTCTCATATCTACATAACAGTCATTGTTGATATTGGAGGTATACTGTCAACTTCATTGGGCATTGTGTATAAAGTGTCTGAAGCTCGTTAGAAAACCTGGTGGATTCACATTCTGGTGCCATCAACATTGCCTTTTTTGTATTTAGAGATATGAATGCACACTAGGCAGTAAGTGGTGAGTATGTTATTATCTCCTCAGAGAATTTCCCTCACCTCCTCCTCAGGGCCAGCCACTCCACTGGACATCAGCCATGGACCCTGCAGTGTGGTTTCATTTCTGCCATGGGTATTAATAGCATTGGTTCTGGAATTACATGCTTAGATCTAATTCTGGCCGTTCCATTTATAAACAGTGGGACCTTAGGCTAGATATTTGATCTCTTTTTATCTTAGTTTTCTCACCTGTAAAATAGGAATAAGACCAACTTCACAGGATTATCATGAGGATTAAATGAGAATATATTTGTGAAGAGTGACATTCAATAGGCAGCAGTAAAGGTTAACACATTACATACATTAAAGTACTATGTAAATGTAAGGAAGTATTACTTGACTATAACATAACTATTAATGATTAGAATGTGTAGAAAATAACTATTGTACTTCTTACTGTTACCCATTATTTCTTTTGATCCATCAGAGGCCAGCAGAAATAGTAGATGAGGAAGAAGATGGAGAGAAGGAAAGCAAGGATGCAGAAAAGAAAGAAGAGTTTTCAGGAATGAATGGTGAAGTTGAAGAGGAAGGAGATGGGGAGGCTACAGAAGAGGAGATGCCGGGGCATGTGGAGGAGCAGGGAAGAACCACTCGTGTTAATGGAGGCACTGATGAAGAAAATGGCGAGGAAATGGATCCGGTCAGTAATGAGCTTCAGGAAGCAGTGGCTGAGGAAATAAAGTCTCAAGGAGCTGGCAGTGGACAAGAGGAGGTACTTCTATTGCTTTTGCTCTCGTGTGTGTGTGTGTGTGTGTGTGTGTGTGTGTGTGTGTGTATGCAATTAGGGAATTATTCATGCATTTAAGACTTGCATTGAAATTACTTGTAGAGTAAGGAAAGATCCAATACTATTTATTTCACTATATTATTTCAATAAGTTAAGAAGGACTGTTGTTCAGCCATTGTGGCTCAGTTGGTTGAGCATCATCTCATGCACTGAGAAATCACCAGTTTGATTCCAGATCAGGGCATATGTCCTGGTTGTGGCTTGATCCCCAGTAGCAGTGTGCAAGAGACAGCTCATCAATGTTTCTCTTTCATTGATGCTTCTATCTCTCTCTTCCTCTCCCTTCCCCTCTTTCTAAAAAATAGGTAATGACATACATACATACATACATACATATTAAAAAAAGAACTGTCAACCACTTATCTGATAGGATATAGGAATTCATGGTTCAACTCTTTCTTCTTCAAAATAATGTCCATTGATGGTATGCGAGGTCTGAAAGGTTGGTGACCACTGGTTTAATCAAATCAAGAACATCATCTCTATTATGTGTGTTTCTTTGTTCTCTAGAAATATTAAACTTTAATTTGGTTAGCCCACTTTAAATGGATTAAGTCCACAATATCCCAGGCACTTAATAATATATATTTCTATTCATTATGCAGTGAGGGTGAAGGAATATGTGCTGAAGCCTCCTTCCCAGCCTATTTTTCCACCACATCCCTGGAGCAGGATATTCTCAAGTCCTGGAATTCTTCCATAGAATCACATGAAACTCAATAGGGTAGATTAACTTAGATGCTGTTGAACAGGCTAAAGTCGAGTCTCATAGTATAAGAGGCTCTATACTCCACAGCATTCTCACCATCTGCTGTTATGCTTATGCCTTTCTTTCCTGTCTATCCATCAGCTCAAGGCCCACCTTCCTCAAAGCTGTAGCCTCTAACATAGGCCTTGGTCTGTTCATCCCTTACAACCCAGTATAGTGAATGGGGTCTTCTTGATTACTTATTAATGATTTATGTTTGATCTTTCTTAGAGAGGCCAAGTTTAGTAATGGTAAAATTCAAAATGTTTTTGTAGCCAGGTTTCAGTAACTAGTACAGAGTTAGATATAATCTACTGTACGGCTTATGTAAAAACTTCTTTAAGCACACACACACACACACAGACACACACACACAGATTAGAGGCCCATTGCACAAAATTCATGCATGGTGGGGGGAGGGGGAATCCTTCAGCCCAGCAGCCTGCATCCTCTCCAATCTGGGACCCCTCTTACAATCCAGGACTGCTGGCTCCCAATTGCTTGCATGCCTGCCTTCCTGATTTCCCCTAACCACTTCTGCCTGCCAGACTGATCACCCCCTAACCACACCCCTGCTAGCCTAATTGATGCCTAACTGCTCCTCTGCCAGCCTGATTGCCCCTAACTGCCCTCCCCTGCAGGCCTGGGTCCCCCCCCCCCCCCCAACTGCCCTTCCCTGCAGGCCTGGTCGCCCCCAACTTCCCTTCTCTGCCTGCCTGGTCAATCCTAACTGCAGGTTGATTGCCTTTAACTGCCCTACCTTATAGGCCTGGTTCTTCCCAACTGCCCTCCCCTGCTGTCTATCTTATAGTGGCCATCTTGTGTCCACATAGGGGCAGCCATCTTTGACCACATAGGGGCAGCCATATTGTGTGTTGGAGTGATGGTCAATTTGCATATTACTCTTTTATTAGATATGATAGAGGCCTGGTGCTCAGGTGGGGGGCAGCTGGTTTGCCCTAAAGGGTGTTGTGGATCAGGGTGGGGGTTCCCTTGGAGCATTGGGTGACCTAGGCAAGGTACCTGTGGTGGTTTGCAGGCCAGCCACACCCCCTAAGCCTCCTGCTCGTTCTGTGGCCACAGCCATTTGTATTGGGATTTATCTTCTACAATTGAAATTTTGTAACCTTGAGTGGAGTTCAGGGCCTGCCAGAGTGTGTGGGGAAGCTTGGCTTCCTCCATTGCCAGGGAAGTTTACTCTGTAGCCACAGCTATCTTGGTTGGGTTAATTTGCATACTTGCTCCTGATTGGCTGGTGGGTGTGGCTTATGGGTGCAGCAGAGGTACGGTCAATTTGCATATCAATCTTTTATTAGATAGGAAGGATATATATATTAGAGACCCATGAAAATTCATGCACTGGAGGGGGTGGTGTCACTCAGCCTGCCTGCCCCCTCTCACAATCCGGGAGCCCTCAGGGGCAGGAGGTGATCATACCTCTGCTGCTACCACTGCCAGCAGTGCAAGCCTTGGCTGGCCCTGGTTACCTGAGTTTTGGGCAGCTCAGGGAAGCTAGTCAGTGCCATCTGATGCTTGCCTATGCCTCACCCTGGATGGCTGGGCAGCTGACATCCTAGGTTTGCCTGTGCCTCAGTCATCAGCTGGGAAGCCACCATCAGAGGCTTGCCTGCATCTCGGGCCAGCCCAGGGTGCCTGGAGGACTAAGGGGACTGGGCGCTGCCATCTTGTGGCTGTGGGCACCACCATCTTTGTGAGGTAGTGATGGTCTATTAGCATATTCCCCCTTTATTAGATAGGATATACATATTGATTTCAGAATGAAAGGGGGAGGGAAAGAGAGAAACATCAATGATGAGAAAGAATCATTGATCAGTTGCCTCCTGCTTGTCCCCGGAGCTCCCAACCTGGGCATGTGCCCTGACCAGGAAATGAATCATCACTTTCTGGGTCATAAGTCAATGTTCAGTCACTGAGCCACACCTGCCAGGCTGCAAAAACATTCTTAACAACTAAATGAAAACACTCAATGTGTCTCTCATCTTGTCTCAGAGTGAGATAGTCATGGCCCTATTCTATAAGAAATTTCCCATATGTAGTTCTACATGGTTATTAAAATTTAGCTAAAATTTCTATTCTAAAGTTGTTTGTAGCTAAATTAAAAAAAAGAATTCAGTCAATTACATGATTCCTTTTATCTCCATAAGGAAACAAAATTAATTTCTCAAGGAAGGCAAAAGAAAAAATAAATGTTTCTCAAAGGAAGAAACATCTCTTGTCTGGGGACTCATATAGAAAACACAATAATGCCAACTGTCATGAAGTTCTTTGTTATTATAGTAGCCTTTGATGAATGCTTATAGCATAAAATCAAAGTAAAATTTTATGTGGGACCTAGATAGTAAATCCAAGTATGCATATTTCAGTAGCCTCGCTTTATTTAATGCTATGACCCAAATAGGTTTTTATAAATGTGAAACCTATAAAACCATCCCATAAAATTAATTTAAAAAAATAAGCTTTTCATAGGAATTGGGTATCAGTAAAATCAAGGTTATATAATTTGAAGAATAAGTATTAGAAGTATACTAGTATATCGATGGTATGTATTGGGAATCAAATGAACAAGTGCCTGATACATGACTAGTTAGGAATTTTAAGGACTATGCACACACCTAAGACAGAGCAGTTACACTCAAAAGATTCACTCTTTTTTGACCCATCTCTCTAATAATGATAATATATTTTGTTTTTATACTATTTGTATTAGTATAGGTACTCTAAGCAAACCAATTACATGAAAAGCCAGATTTCTATGAATTATAAATTAGACATTAATAATAAAATTTTTCAAAAGGATTCTCTATTTATAAAATGACTAAAAATTCAGTTCACTATATAACATTTTGTTCCACATAACAGTTCTTAAACAAAGTGTGGTAAAATTGAAAGAAACAGCAAGAAATAAATGACAAATACACAATAACCAACTGGCATTTATTGTTCTTGCACTGTGTTCAAAATGCCATTTGAAACACTTCATGAGACTTCATGAGAGTTATTTGAGAATGTGAAATAAGATATAGTTTTGGTAATTTTTGTTTTTATTAGAACATAAATCAAGGCCTGTAAAGGTGGGGGACTTGGAGCTGGTCCTGTTCTCTCTACACAGGTGACCATTGTGGGGGCAATGGAGCCTCCAGGACTCCATGGAACATAGTTTGAGAACCACATAATCCTGATCTCACCCTCTTGGTTTTCAGACTAGTGGGGAAAGACAGACTAAATAAAACAATATCATTAATAACATAGGAGAAGCCCCAGTGGCAAGGACAAAGGCTGCTGTTGGAGAAATGCTGTCTCTGTGTTTTCATATCCTGTCCTGCTCTTATCTGCTTGATATTTTATGCTACTTTGTACCATATTCACAAAGAATTTGTAAGCTCGTGTAGAAAACTAATAGAAGAACAGCTAGTATGGGACTGGGTTAATGAGACATGAGGGTAGAATTGCTACATGCTTCTCTTCCCTTTTCTCTGAAAATGGGAAAATGAAAAATATAAATATGCTGTTGAAAAGCTCAAAGGGAAATAAAAGAAAACATCAAGAAAAATAAAGCCCGAAGCACAGGAAATAAGTATGTGCTCCCCTTAAAGCACAGAGTGGGTTATGGTCCCAGAAAGGGCTTCTGTACAAGTGGTGTTGAGACTGGTGTGTTCAGTGGGTGGTGAGAGACTAGAACACAAAGGAGCCTAAGGAACTGTTTTTAGTTGAGTATTTATATAACTAAATGGAACATTGAATATTTTTTTCCTTATAAGTTTTATTATCTTTGAAACTAAAGAGCTAAATATTTTGTTTTAATCTGTTTTCCTCCAGGTTGACTTAGACCCTGAAAGACCACCAAGGCCAGAAGTAAAAATCACTGGTCCACAAGAAAATGAGGACAATGAACAAAGCAAAGACTATGCTGTCGTAGCATAGATGATTTTAAAAAAGAGAGTGTATTGATTATAAGAAAATGAAGGGCTATAATACTTGAATAATAAGTATATAGTCCTCGCTAAACATAATGTGACAATATGGTTGAAAACTACCTACTGAATTTAAAAATTAGAGACCTATTGGAAAGACCAGATAACTTTGAATAGCTACTAAAGGAGAGTGACTTCTCATTATGGGATGTGTTTTTAGAAATCATTTAGAAAATTGAGAGATTTAGATAGAGGAGAATTTGACCTGGAAGACAGCTGAGTATTTGTTTTTTGTAAAGGATGAAAAAGAATGGAATTACTCCTATTGTACATATTTTTTAAAAATTTAGAAGTGAGAATATTTGATGGCAGCCTATGCTAAAGCACTTGTCTAAGAAGGCATAGAATTTTAAATGATAATAGGAAAACATGTACTATTTTTTAAAGCAATAAACTCCTGAATAAACAATTTATGATTTAGTTTCAGAGATAATTTGGAAATGGCAGTAGATTAAAATGTTTCCATGACTGTTGACATTCCATTCTTTCTTCCTCCTTAGCCAAAATCCACCTTAATAGAATTAAAAAGAAGGCAAGGTATTCATTTTGGAAGGAGGAAGTATTCATTCAGTGTATTAGTGATTAATATTGTCATATTCCTCCCTTAAGAGCTTCAGGTTTTAATCCTTGTGGCTTTCATAACACATAACTCAGGAAGGAATTATAAAAGAACATCCAGTTATATTACTGAGCCTAGATTGATGGTTTGCAAATTCTGGCATTGTATGGATTTTCAGTGACCCAATCTACCTTTACCAGTAATATACCTCTCTTCTTCCTCATGTTAGGGAACTCAATATTGGCTGTTCCAAAGATTGAATTTGCTCCCATTTTTTATAAAAGGAAAATGTAGGCTTATGAAGAATCTGTCACTACTCAATTTCACTTGCTTTTTGCCTTATTTCTATTAGGATTGCCTTGCCATATTTTGTCCCTAAGGATATCAGCAAATATTTATTTTCAAGCCAGTTATATTTAGATTTTCTAGAAGATTCCTTTTTGTATAATTAGAAGTTATCTGATGGAAATTGTTGGGAAAAAAGTTATAAAATTATCATAATGAAACTAGTTCCAATTACTAGTTTGTGGACTGATTATATTTACTCACGATTGCCTTTTTAGGTTTATATGGAGAAAAGCATGGTTGTATTAGTTTGTTTTTTAATTCTCAAGAGATAAGGCAGGTTTTCCTTAAATATAGAATTAATATATTTTTGTAATGTTAAAGAATATTTTGTTATGTAGAAATTATAAATTTAAATTGCTAGTGCTTTCATATAATTCATTACTGATCATAAATTTAAAATATTTTCTCCACCAGATTATATAACCAACCATTTGGAGTCAGAGTAGTTATATGAAGTACTGAATAATGCTATAGAAAATGGATGTATTTTTTCTAGCAGCTATTTTAATACTTTCCACAAATAGGAAGTAGAAGCAGACACCATAATGTAACAGTATTGGAAAGAGACAATGATATAAGAGTATATTAATCTGGGAGAATAAATTATAAATGGGACGCTATATTTCTAGTTTAAAATCTAGACTGTGCTGTCTACTCATAGGCGTATTTTTCAGATGGGACAATAAAAGTACCATAGGCTACACGCAATAATCTTGTGCTGCTAGGGACATAGATTACGTGTTTTTTTTAATGTTAAATTCCCATACTGTTACTGGGCCTGGGGTTAACTATTTAAAATCATTTATAAAAATAAGATATTAAATATAATAAATAATAACTAATTGTCAAGGTGATTCTTTCTCTTTTCTTTCTTGAATGAGTTTTTTCTTTCTCTTTTCCTTTTTTAATATAGATATTCTGTGTCTCTTTTTTTTCCTTTCCATCATACTATAAAGCTTAGATTTGCAGAAACTTTTCAGAATCATCTTAATGGAAAACACTGTTATTTTACATTAAAACCCAAGTTTGGCATTTTAACTATATTTCAAGAAGGTGATAGTCCACAATAACTGGAGCAAAAAATTGAAAAGTGGGGATGTAATATTTCTCTTGTGTATGTGTATATGCTAGAGGGGATGAACAACTAATCACTTTTAAAAATGACTGAAATTTGCTGTGTAACCATGGAAGAAATCATTCACAGAGAATGAAAATTGTGGGCCTCATTTTGTAGATGACTTTAACATAAATAATGAAAGTTAATTCACCTTTCAAATGTGGAAATTTCTTTGTGTGTGGGAATGGTGCTCTTGGTGGCCTCAGAGTAGCTCTACAAATTGAGTCACTGACAGATTTGAGGCCATTATGTGAGTGAGCAATAGAGATCTTGGTTTGGCTTTGGGTATTGTTTTATAGAGAGAAGGGGCTATGGATATTTCTATAGCTTTTATGTGATAACCAATAAAAGGCTTTAAGGTAATTATTTTTAATGATATATTTCAGTTTTAATTTTATGGAACTCTTTTAATAATCTTAATTTGGTTTTATGACATTTGTAAACAAGTGGTTTGTTAGTTGAATTGGAACATTAGGAGTTTTTCAAATAAAGGAGAAGTTAACTAAAAACATAAAGATGTTTCACCTGTTCTAGTTTCACATGTTTCACCATGAACTACTGAGAGTTCATGGACTTCTAGTTATGAAACATGGTACTATGACCATAAGGTAATTTTTTACTCGTTTTTTTTTTCCTATGGCCAAAGGGTGTCTTTTTTATTTACTAAAAACAAAATTTGTAATTTTAAACATTTAGTTAAATTTATTAAAACATTTTTGGTTATGTTTTTGGGGAATATTTGAATACCAGAATCATATGATACTCCGTGCATTCTGTCTCATGCTGAGTGTTAGTCCCTGCTCTAGTCTATAAAAGAAGAACTAGCCTATATGTGCGTGTGGCTTGCAGCAGTCAGGTCTCTCTGGAGGCTCACAGTTGTGAAGCTATGCTAATATAAAGTTATTCATACTGACTCTTCCAACTTATAGCTGATAAACCAATATCCAAGAAAATATCACTAAATGACTACCTTCTTCACAAAAGATGACGTTAATTCATCTGGGAAACATTTGTGTTTTTAAATTGTGGCTGCAGAACAACAGGAGGGCATCTTTATCTTATTTACTGACTCTCCTACAGAATTTGCTCTATACATTCATTTTTTTTTCTCAGTATGTAGCAAAAACAAAATTTCAAAAAGTAGAATAGATTAGTTGTTAAACAGAAAGCATGACATCTGAACTTGTGCCAATCTGAATAGAAATAGACTGCATATATTTATATATGTATGGATATACATATATAAATAGCACATACTTGTACAGATGCACTCTCACACTTTAAAATATTGCAAACGCCTCTTCAGGCACAGAGTTGTTAATAGAGTAAGTCTCCTTTGAGAGAATGCATAAAAACACACGAGAAAGAAATGCTAATAAATTACATATATCATGGTGCTTTAAGACGGTTCCCAAAGACTTTCAGAGATATGAAAATCTTCTCAAAATAAGGAAGTTATGACTGTTTTAATGAAAACTTTATTCAAGAGAGGGCTAAATAGATATTTAGTCCTGTTTTCCTAAAACAACTACATACAGATTTTTAGTTATTTTGTCATCACTCTTATGTACCATATACATTAGGAACAGAATGTTTCATACAAACACAGGTTCTGTCAGAAGGTCATTACTGCTTGTGTGTGATTTACATAAATGTAAAGAGGACTCTGCTAACAAGCAGCCAGTTCACTACAAATAGAACACAACTAGACCACTGGCTGTCTAGTGTTGAAATTCAGAGCAGAAGCTTTGTAGCTTCCTTGTGTGCATGTGATATCCTAGAATAGACCCATTTTTTTTAAAAAAGGTTAGTTTATTTAGTTTTTGTTATTAAATATATTTTTTGATAAATACTATAAGATTTTTGCTTTGCAGAAAATATCCTGGTATATGGATGAGTCTGATTTTTGTTCTTACCACATGAAATTAGTATATTTCCCACCATGAAGTCTAAGTGACTTGGATGGAGAATGAAAGTGTGTCCCCATAAGTTGATAAGGAAGAAAAATACCATTTATGAAGAAGTATACCATCCTGTAGAATATGTGGAATCAGGGAAGACTTTTAAAATGTCTGGATAACCATAAAGCATCTATCAAATCAGGAGGTACTTAATGAAGCTAGTTTCATTGATTCAACCTAGCTTAAATCCATGAATGATACCAAATGAATTATCTGTAGTCTCATCAGCTTAAACCACATAGTATAACTGAGTGAGTTGTATCACATATGTAATGGCATATGAGAAAAGGGAATGACTATAGTCAATTTTAGAAGAAGTTTGGAGAAAATCTAGTCTGTGTTTTTGCTTCAATGTTTTTCTTGCACTTTAAATCTCTAATATGTACAATGATAATGGGTGATTATCAATGTAGTAAGTAAAGATTAAGTTGAGCTCATGTTTTTTATATGATTTATGTTTAGAATTTCTCTTTGTAAAGAAACTTGTTGTTTTTGATCAAATTATGAGCATATAGGTTTTTACTTCTATGTCAGTGCTCACTATAAACCATAAAAGTTCATTGTATGTTTTAAGTAAATATATCTGTGTTTTTAAAATTAAAATGGGCCTGGATGGTATATTGTTTGTTTATGATGTTGTGTTGCTAATAGTTCATGTATTAATTCTTTGTATGACATTTTTCACAAATGCAATAGAAACCTTTTGATTTAAACCATGTAGAAATTTAACACATTAAAAGATTATTCTGTTTCTATTTGACATGTATATTAAACTTCATTATATAAAGAAAGCAATTTGTATATCTTCATATACATGTTTAGTTGGTAAACATTTTAGATATATATTTTTAAATCATTGTTTTTTCTTTTATGAAATGATATTAGAGTGACATAGGTTTAGAAATTTTGTTATGATAAATATACACTTAAAAACAAAGAATAACTTACACACATTACACATTTTATATAGATACAGCTATAGAATAACTTTACAATTTTACAAAGATATTGGCTAAAATTCTGCTTCAGTTTGTGGAATATCACTGCTTTCATTCTATTGACTAAAGTGGTTTTGATATTTTTCCCTTCATGTTTGAGAAACAAAATCCATTAAATACAATATTTTTGCCTTCTTGATCTTGATATGTAATAACAAAATACATGTGATTTGAGACACTAACTAAAGAGAAGACAGTATTGCACCTCTCCTGCAGTTGACCTTCTGTGTTTGTTAAATAAGACTAAAAAAGCAAATCTCCACAGCAAAGGAGGCATCTGCATTTCCAAAGCCAAATCTCTTTAGACTGTGTAGCTAATCAACATTAGAAACTTCCTATAATCAACAATGACAGTAATGGTAATTTCTCCAAGGTATGGTAAAATGGCTAACATGCATTGGATAAAAATTCTTGTTTATGAAAATAAACATATAGTTTTGCAGGTTTCCAAGTATTTCTTCTCCCCCTAATGGGTCTTTAATTAATCTATTGAATCATTGCATGGTCTCTCAAATTCCAATACAAACTCATCTATTAAAGAGACAACTGAGGCAGGAATGCCCTGCACTTTAAATGCATTGGTTCAGTAATAACAAAATTGTCTTAAAATATAAAAACAAACAAACACCCCCCCCCCCACACACACACACACAAAACACCAATAAGGCGTTTCCCCTTGACTTCATTGTATTTGTTCTTTTTGGCTATAATCCTCTCAGACCTCCATGAGCAATCTCAAACACAATTGTAATCTTAATAACTATCTACATGCTCATGACTTTGAAATCTGGGCCAAATTTCTCCTCCCTGAGAGCTCCAGACCTGGGTATATAAATTTCAGTTGTATATTCCTTAGTTACCTCAAACTCAAATATTTTATTTTTTGATAATATGTTTCTATTCTTATATTGCCTATTTGGGTTAATTATGCACCTTACTGCTCAACTACAAACCTGGGAGTCATCTTAAAGTATTGACATTCTCTTTATGTCAAATTAGTCATTAAATTTATGTTGTTTATTTATCTAATACTTAGAAATGTCATTTCACTGTTTACTTGTATTAATAGGCATTTTCCTCATCTTGTATTTTTGCCTGAGGGTTTTTCATTTATTCACATGCTTCCCTCATTTTTCCCTAGGTTTTGGGCTTTTTGTTATTGCTTTGAAGGGCTTTTATTTTTATTTTTATTTTTTATAAATCCTTCATAACCTTAGCTGGTTATGTGTTTTACCAATATCTCTGTCAGCTTATGTTTTAATTTGTTTGCTTTTCTAAAAATGATATGAGCCTAGAGAAAGTTTTCATATTGATGTAGTCAAATATATTAATATTTTAAAAATTTACAGGGTTTCACCGAAACCGGTTTGGCTCAGTGGATAGAGCATCGGTCTGCGGACTGAGAGGTCCCAGGTTCCATTCTGGTCAAGGGCATGTACATTGGTTGTGGGCACATCCCCAGTAGGGGGTATGCAGGAGGCAGCTGGTCGATGTTTCTCTCTCATCGACGTTTCTAGCTATCTATCCCTCTCCCTTCCTCTCTGTGGAAAATCAATAAAATATATTTTAAAAAAATTTTACAGGGTTTTTCTAGTTTACTTAAAAATTTGTCTGAACCTCGATGTCAATTATATTCTGTAGTACTTTCTAATTTTTTAAAGTTTTGCTTTTCACGTTTAGGACTTTATCTGTCCAGGCATGTATTTTTTGTGTGTATGGGAATTAGGGCTTAATCCTACATAATAAAAGAGTAATATGCAAATTAACCATCACTGCTACACCCAGAAACCACACCCACCAGCTACACCCATCAGTCAATCAGAACAAATATGCAAATAAACCCAACCAAGATGGCTACAGCCACACAGAGCAGGAGGGAGGCTTGGGTTTCCCAGACAACAGAAGAAGCCAAGCTTTCTGCCTCCCCTTGCCAGCCTAAGCCTCCACTCAAGGCTACAAAGCTTCAATTATAGAAGGTAAATAAATTCTAGATATCAGGGCCACCTCTTGAGTTGCCAGGGGGTGTGGCTGGCCTGCAAACCACCACAGGCCCCTAACTCAGGCTGCCCCATGCCCCAAGGGAACCCCCACCCTGATCTGGGACCCCTTCAGGGCAAACCATCTGGCCCCCACCCAAGCACTAGGCCTCTATCCTAACTAATAAAAGGGTAATATGCAGATTGACCATCACTCCAATACATAATATGGCTGCCCCCGTGTGAACCTAAGATGGCTGCCACAAGATGGCCAGCAGGGGAGGGCAGTTGGGAGGGACCAGGCCTGCAAGGGAGGGCAGTTGGAGGTGATCAACCCTGCAGTTTAGGGCAGTTAGGGGTGACCAGGCCAGCAAAAGAGAGACGTTGGGGCCAAACAAGGTGGCAGAGGAACAGTTAGGCAACAATTAAGCTGGCAGTGGAGTGGTTAGGGGGTGATCAGGCTGGCAGGAAGAAGCAGTTAGGAGCAATTAGGAACACAGGCAGGCGAGCAGTTGGGAGCCAGCAGTCCTGGATTGTAAGAGGGATGTTTAGGTCCAATCCCCATAGGATCGGGTCTAAATGGGCAGCCAGATATCCCTTGAGGAGTCCCAGATTGGAGAGGGTTCAGGCTGGGCTGAGGGACACCCCCCTTCTGTGCGAAAAATTTGTGCACTGTGCCTCTAGTTTTCTTATACTTTTTCATATGGGCAAAAAAAAAATCTTAGCACTATTTATTAAACATGCTGTCCCCCCCCCCCCCCCCCCATTGATTTGTAGTCAGAAATAAGTCCAGTTCTCATTTGTATTTTGGGAAGTTCTTGATTCAAGATTGGAGGAGATTCCTATTATGAACTGAATTGTGTCCCCTTAAATTTGTATGTTGAATTACCCAAACCCCCTTGTAACTGTATTTGGAGATAGGGCCTTAGTGGAGGCAATAATAGGTAAATGAGGTCATAAGGGTGGAGCCCTAATTCTACAGGACTGATGTCTTTGTAAAAGTGGGAGAGATACCAGAGTTCATGGAGGAAAAACCATATGAGGACACAGACAAAAGCCATATGAGCCAGCAAGAGAGGCATCGCCAGAAACCAAATCTGCCAGCATCTGATTATGGACTCCTACCTCCAGAACTATGAGAAAAATAAAATAAAATACCTTGTTTAAGCCACTCAGTTTGTGTTATTTTGTTATGGCAGCCAGAGCAGACTAATCCAAATCTCTTCTCCTTGCTGAGTCCTAAATTATATAACAGGGATTTATTTATTTATTTATTTATTGGTCAGTGAATATTAAATAGAAAACATAAAATAGTAGTTTAGAAGTGTCTCCTCCCCTCCCCAAACTTCTCTTTGTTTTACTCTCAAGATAACATTAAGTTTTTACCACCCTTTATCCGTATTGATTTCTTGGTCTTCTGATAATGAGCTGCTACCCTTGGCAGGGGATTATCTTGGAAGCTGTATAAGTGTAGGAGTGGATCCAAAGAGGGCTGCATGGGGTCCAGCTCTTCAAATATAATCTGGACATTGCTTCTTCACCTATGTGGTGACTATTTTTTTTATATCCAGGACTAGAGGCTCGATGCATGAAATTTGTGCAAGGGGCTCAGCCCTCACAGCTGCAGTGGCTTGCCTTGGCTTTGTCTAGAAGGTCATCAGGAAGGTCGGTCAGCTGTCTGGTGTAATTAGCATCTTATGCTTTTATTATTATAGATGGTTGACAAAAGTGAAGTACAATGGGAAACATGTGCCATCTAAAGTATTGAAAGGCAGGGTTCCACACACACACACACACACACACACACACACACACACACACAATAAATAAATAAATAAATAAATAAACAAATAAATAAATAAATAAACAAACAAACAAATAAATAAATAAAAATAGCATGCAAAAATGATCATTACAAAGTGCAGTATGAAGAGGCATGTTGTACTCCCATGTTTTACTCCTTCCCTTTTCTGTAACTTTTAGATAATGATCTTTGAGGATGGAAATGACCCAAGTCTAGAGATACTAGCTCTCCTGTGATAGCCTATTAAGTTTTTGTATTCATAGATGAAGGAAAGATTCTTTATAAGAAAATGGTCTATAGAAGAAGGTTTATCCATAGATTCTCTAGTCTGATATTCTCTTTTCATTTTGTTTTACTAGGCTCCTTTACCAAAACTTCACTAAATTATAAATGATGATAATTTTATAATAAGAAGTGATGCCTGGTTGAGTGAAACTCCCTACTCAATTAAAATTATTTTGTCTCACTCAGCCAGTTTGCTCAGTGGTTGAATATCAACCCATGGACCAGAAGGTCATGGTTCAATTCCTGGTCTGGGCACAGGCTTGATACCCAGTAGGGGACATGCAAAAGACAGCTGGTCAATTATTCTCTCTCATCACTGATGTTTCTATCTCACTCTTCCTCTTTGAAATCAATAAAAATATATTTAAAATATTTTGTCTTTTTACTTATAAAAATTTAAGATCAACTTGTCAGGATCTGTGAAAAAGCCTGTTGAGATTTTGACTGTAACTTCATAGGCCTTTATAATATTGCGATATCCCATCTATAAATTTGAAGCATCC